ATGCTTCTGGAATTTGAATATTGGATGGCTTGGAAATAACTCATTATAATTTAATCCCATTTTTTGTTTCATTTTTCAGAGGGTAGTACAGAAATGGCCTTGCTTATGGAATGGTAGACAACGGCCGTGTTACTTGTTTGCAAGGAAGTTCCATCCAGAGACTCTCAATAACTTGTTGCACCTTTTTGCCAATTATACAACAATTTGAGCCAGATATTTTTGATTCCATATTCTTTGGTTGGATCGTTTTCGACCCTTTCCCTCCCACTTATTTCCAGTATAGCTGACGAAGTTGTAAATTGCCAAATTATAGAGGCTTGATTGTTTGTTCCCCCCGACCACATTTCTTGAGTGCAAGGGCAACTGGCAGAGCAGTTAGGGTGACCGGAGTCTGGCTGGAGGCTAACAAGCTAGTGTTGCTTCCGTGGGTATGAGGATATGTTGATCTCTACAAACCCTTCATTTTGCACTATCAGTGTTAAATTTCTAGAACAGAATTTTTCTTTTTTGGGGAACTCTTTCACTGCATTTTGTGGTTAGTCTTTGTAAAAGATGAAGTTTGAACTCTCAAGTGGCAAATATACAACACACAATAGCCGTGAAATTCACGCTTTAAAAATTATTCAGTGCATGTGTGGAAATTCAGAGAGAAAATTAGAAACATATAATGATTGAATTGGAGAAGTTATTTTTTTTTTTTCCCGTACGTTATCTTTGTGTCTTGAGAGAAGAAGTGTTGGAAACACTAAGGTAAGCATTGAATGATTCTATGCCCTGGCTGCCTTGGGAATTTACAGACCAGATGCAACCACACTAATGCATAATTAAACCATGGTTAGGAGTTTATTTGTAGAGTAGACTCAAATGAGTAGTTAGCACCGTATTGTTTGGGAGAGATTTTAAGGTCCAGTTTGGGATTGCTGTCGTTTTAAAAAAAAACTGCTTCTGCTGTGCTTTAAAAAGAATCAGTTGTAAAGTAAGGAGCAGAGCGTTTGTGAAAGTGTTGTAACTATTTATAATGACTAAAATAGACATTTGTAAAAGTGTCGTAACTATTTATAATGACCAAAATAGACATGCGGCTGAAAGTGTGTTTTTTTTTACTAATATGTTGTAAAAAATAAACCTTGAAAGTGTTGTTATACTTTTCTTCCTAAAAATTATATTAACCTTTGAAGAAAAATAAAAATTCAATTTTCGAACAAAATATATCATTTATTTTCTAGGACCAAATATAACCAACAAGGGGTAAGAAAGGTTTCGACTTGGAAGAATTAGAGTTGAAGGAGAGCAAGGTTGCCCTGCCATTGAAGGACCTTTTGGACCATATGGATTCCATCCCTAAAAACTATCATACACAAGAGATTGAAGAATCCATATATCCCTGAAAACTATAATCAATAGCTTTGAAGAGATTGATAATCTACCTTTGAAAAGAGATTGAGCGAATCATTTGCAAACTTGGGAGGATACGGGAGATTGAGTGAATAGATTGATAACTTGGGAGGCTACAGGAAATACCAAATGTTGGTGTCTGCAGACTTGGAGAGAAATACGAGAGATACATTTCTAACCTAATAAGGTATTTGTGGAATTGCAAAAAAAAAATCAATAAAGGGAGCGCGCTGCTTCAATTGAAAGTAAGCATGACATTTTATTTTTACCAAACACCTTAAACTGCTTAACTTTAAAGTTAAGTAGGTTTTTGGCCAAAAAAATGCATCACAAACGGGGCCTAAATAACTCAATAATCACTTTTATGGAAAATCACTTTTCTCCAATAATGACTTTAAGTGGTTTTAAGAGATTTTATGGAGAAGAATATGCCTTATAATTATTAAAAGTGATTATATGAAGAAGCATGCGAGGTGCTTCTCCCCAGAAGTCCAGAATCACTCCCAACACTTACTAGCTAATAAGCACTTGAGCACTACTGTATATATTACCCATATTTTAAAGGGTAATCCATGACCCTTAATCAAACTTTCACATATTTTACATGGTTTTAATTGCTTTCTAATTTTTATTAGTCATTACTGCTGTGTTTTCATTACCGATACAAATGTACCAAATTTCCATTAAGTTTTGTATGGTCTTGGACAAGAATAAGATAGCAGTTATGAGACTACCTTAAAAAGGAAGATGAAAACTTAATGGAAAACCTAATGCCATGACTTATGCGTGTGAAAACTAAATGGAAAGATTGCCTTGTTAAAGAACCCTACACACAAGATTATCTTGTTATTTTTCCCTTTATTGCATATATATATATTCATTTTCTTAGGAGGATGCTTTTGAGAAGAGCAAGCATATAATGCAAGTCTACAGTCTGGAGGATATTTCCATATATGTATATTTCTACGTACGCATAGTTACAAAGAAGCACAGCTCTCATGCCTCGTCTGCCTTAAACAATTCTGTGTTCTTTTAAGCAGTAGCCATGGCAGCCCTGTTTGCGAAACCTGTTAGGCTCTCGCTTACTAATTTTGTTATTTTCTGAAATTTGTTATGCTTAACCGCCACAGTTTCCATCATCGAAAGACCAAGGAGTTTTGCAACAAAACTCATTCATCGCGGTTCGGCTTTGTCTCCTTACTACAACCCTAATGCAACCATCAAAGACCATGCTATGCATACGTTGAAAACCTCCATGGCACGCTTAGCATACTTGGGAGCAAAGTCTAATATTTTTGTGACAGACGATACTCGTGCCGGGCTTGTTGCTGAGGACAATGGAGCACAATTCATGGCAAGTTTCTCAATCGGTGAGCCACTAGTTCCACAGCTCTTGACCATAGACACAGGCAGCAACTTATTGTGGGTTCAATGCCTTCCTTGCACCAAGTGTTTTGAACAAGCCTCTCCAATTTTTGACCCTTCCAAGTCCTCAACATACACCACATTACAATGCAACTCTCCCTATTGCACCATTTCCCCTAGTGACAAATGTGACCCCTCAAACAATTGCAAGTTCTCTCACAAGTACCCTGATGGCACTGATGTAGCCGGACTTCTTGGGAAAGTTCACCTTGGACACGTCCGACGAAGGCATTAGCCCTGTCGCGAATGTGGTTTTTGGTTGTGCCCATGACAATGATGGTTACAATGGCCTACCTAGTGGAATACTTGGTCTTGGACCTTCAAACATATCTTTGGCAACCCAATTGGGGTCAAAATTTTCTTATTGCATTGGTAGCATGAAGGATCCAAAGTACCCTCATAACCAACTAATCTTAGGCGATGGTGCAAAGATAGAAGGCCTTTCAACTCCACTTGAAGTCTACAATGACCTCTACTATTTGACCTTAGAGGGCATCAGCCTCGCCGAAAGGCGGCTCGAAATTGAACCAGAAATTTTCAAAAGAACACCATCAGGCACTGGTGGAATAGTCATTGATTCTGGGACAACATTAAGCTTCCTAGCCAAAGGTGCATATGATGTGCTTAGAGCTGAAGTGCAAAAGTTGATGGATGGAAAGTTGGAAAAAGTAGAAGAGCCTGATATTCCTTCAGCTTTATGCTACAAGGGGATTATAAGCCAGGACCTTGTTGGGTTTCCAGATGTTGTCTTGAACTTTGCAGATGGGGCTGAGTTGGGTTTGGACATTGAGAGCCTTTTCCAAGAGTATGGCCAGAATGAGCTTTGTATGGCTTTGCAAGAGTCTCCTGTTGGGAATGACTTGAATGATGTTGGAATTATGGCTCAGCAATTTTATAATGTTGCCTAAGATCTTGCTGCAAACAAGGTTTATTTTCAGAGGATTGATTATGAACTTCTTGATGACTGATGGGCATCCATAATATAGGGAGTTCAATATATTTTACAGCCTTTTTTTTTTTTTTTTTTTTTTTTTTTTTTTTATTTTTTTTTTGTATCAATTTTTTTTCTTATTTATTCTTGTATTTATTTACTTTTGGTGGGTTTTAAATATGGGATATAATTATTGAAGAATAAAAGAAGATGAAACTCTTTCTTGCTCCCATATTGGCCATTACATGAAGGTAGATTCTAGTTGTCATTCTCTTTAGACTCTTTTGTAACCAAGAAAAAGAAAAGGAAAAAAACAAGGTCTCAGGTTCGAACCATGACATCTTGGTTGTGTGAGAAACTCCTCATCTTGTAATTTAGATTATCGCTTGTATTCAAAATAAAAGTTCTATTAATTTCCAAGGTAAAACCATGGATGTTATAACTCATGTTATTATTATCATTTTTGTTTATTTACAATTGAAAATAAAATAAAAATCCCCTCAGTTTTCCTATACCGAAAATTCAAGGATTTTTAAAAAGCCACCTTTCATTGAATCAAATTTCTTCAATTTCACTTATTAGAATGGCATTGTCTTTTTCCATTTCAAAATTGCCTCTTAAGAGATGGGCATCAAAATTCCTAGGAAGAGCAATCATCAAAAAAATCAGAATTGGGAAATAAGCTTTAAGAGTGAAAGTTGTAATTTAAAGCATGCTTTCCTATATTTCGCAAGTCTTACATTGCAATTCAGTTTCTTCTTTTTCTTGACGTCTGCAACCTTTTCCTTGATACCTGTTGACGCAACCACCACTCACATTGTTGCCCAAAAACACCTGACTGGTACTCATACTCATTCACCACTCACCACTCACACCTTGCACCCAAATTCCACTGTAATCGAAATTACAACTAGCTACGAGAGATGGTGCTCAAAGTGACATGAAAAGGTTGCTTGGACGCTTTGGTTAACTAAGAACCAACTACTGAAGGCGATGATGCTTCGAACATTTCCATCAACAGACACCGATACTGAAATATTCATCAATATTTCCGAAGATATCAAATATTTAAGTGCATCACAGGACTATTCTAATTAAAATCGGGCGGTGTCATGTAATACGGACTAGACTCATTCAATTGGACAACAGTACGATATATATTAGAATAAACAAGCCCCATCCTTAGGGATGGAGTGGAACTGTCCGATACAGGACTCGAGTCCTGACCAGACATACCCCCACCAAGGTCCTGAGCATATACCATTCATTCTTGTAAGTTGCAACTAGGTCAAGCATTGTGGTTTTGGTTTGATCAGACAAACATTTCATTGTCCTGAGACATGGGCGTTACAGTTTTCCAGAACCTTTCTATCCGGCATTGCACGTCAAAAGCAGAAGGGACGCTTGCTTTTGGGAGACTCATCTTTGAAACATCTAATTAAGGCATGAAAACAACCCACATTGTTGGCTACACAACTTAATTGGCAATTGGCAGCATAAGTGATGCTCTCAACAAGTACAACCAATTGATATTGGGAAATGAGGCAGACTTTATACAGGCAACTCAATGCCTTCTGAAACAGCTAACAGTGGCTTTTACTACATACATATTCCTAGTGTGCACTAGTACTAGAGACACAATTTAACTCCTCACAACAGGACTGGAGTCTTCAACTCTGGATCAACATACTGAGTCGACTCGTAATTACGCATGGACCATGTTGACACCCCATAGTGAAGGGAGACTCATCTTTGAAACATCTAATTAAGGCATGAAAACAACCCACATTGTTGGCTACACAACTTAATTGGCAATTGGCAGCATAAGTGATGCTCTCAACAAGTACAACCAATTGATATTGGGAAATGAGGCAGACTTTATACAGGCAACTCAATGCCTTCTGAAACAGCTAACAGTGGCTTTTACTACATACAAATTCCTAGTGTGCACAAGTACTAGAGACAATTTATATCCGCACAACAGGACTGGAGTCTTCAACTCTGGATCGACATACTGAGTCGACTCGTAATTACGCATGGACCATGTTGACACCCCATAGTGAAGGCCAGTGTTGAGCAAATATTTTGGACTAGTACGTCAGCCAACCAAATTCTCTACAGTATTGTGATGCCAGCACCAAATTACCATAACTGAACAGTTAATGACGACTCTTTTCAACAGATTAGGGCATTCTGCATTTCTATACTAGCTGTAAACTTTTAATATCAAATCCAATCTCAAGCATAACCTTAGGGAAGCTATGTAACCCCTGCCTGCTCAAATAATCCTAGAGAAAATACAAAGATATAAAAACTTGCTTGTTCCTTTAACATGGTAATCAAACCCTGTGGTTCCAGTCCATGCTGCAAAAAGAAATGGCATGCATAAGGATTGCCATCAGAGTTGGAAACAGGGCAAGGAATTCTACATGAAAATGGTAAAGATAAAATAGCATCTTACCTGGCTTAGATGCTTAAAGAAGACACATCTAACTGGTTGCACAGACCATTTAAGAGTCCCAACAAGTAGCTATAAGCCTCTATCCTGTAGTTAACAACCACCATTAGAAAACACCAACTCTACCAGCCACTGCTTGCTATTGGCTGGTTCAAGAAACACGAGTGCAAATAATACAAGCTTCTGTGGCACCCTTTGCTAAAGGCGCAGTATAGCTTCACCCTATAAAATTAAATACTAGAAAGAAAACAAAAAACCCAAAATACCAACATTCACCAATAGAAAAATCTTTCAGCAACAAAAATTGGAAGTGAACACTGAAAATAACTTGACACCAAGCATGCTTCTAGGGATACGAAAACCATAATACGACCATGGGCACATACTTTCCAGAGAAAAAACTGCATTGCAAAAAGGAGCAGTTATTAGACATATAAGCATGACTTGCGCTGGCTAAGCAAAAGGAACTGATCTACTTCCCATTGTCCTTAAGAGACACTCGCCGAGGCACCCAATCTGTAGTAGATACGACACTTACCATCAGTTTAAAGACAACAATTATATGTTCAAGAAAAATCATCCTATTAATACACAACCAACATATAATCTCCCATAAAACATCAAAGAAAGTAGAATAGCAAAAGTCCCAAATGACATATTGAATATTCTCATGGTAACACGAAAATTCCAGCAAGAACCTTAATCAGCCTGGTCAAATAATCTGCTCATCTCTTTCTTCCACCACGCTCTCTTAATGAAAGACTAAGTGCTTCTCCTGCTCCAACATTATAATACGCAAGCGACATATTGTCCTTGAGAAAACCAGGCTTTCCACTCAATTTCTGTTTGTTTGCAGGAAGCTGGATCTCCCCAGAAATTTTTTCTTTCAGACTCCCAACAGTTTCAGATAAGGACTGCACCGTAATCTCCAAAAGTTGTCCCTTCAGATTACCTTCATCAACATTGGGGACAGATACTGTGATGCGAACAGGTCCCTGCAACCAAAAAGATAATAAATAAAAAGGAATAATTTCTGTCAGGCTACCAACAATAATTATACAATAAGATTTCAATTACTAAAGAATTTACAGTGCAAAGGCAAGGATATGCAGGGAATCCATACCGGATGCTGTGCCAGAAACTGATCTTCTGAAATAAGCATAGAATCGTCAAGCTTCTGCCGCTTTGGCTCAGGTTCTTCTGGAAGCGGTGGAGGAGCTTCCTCAGGTGGTGGTGGCGGGGGCATCCCCTGAGGCAAAGGTGGTGGTGGCATCATTTGCATTGTAGGTGGAGGAACAGGAAGAGGCATATAAGATCGGGGAACTTGCATGGGTGTAAACTGCGAACCAGGTGGAGGTGGTACAGATGGATTCATAGACATTGATGGTGGCATAGGAGGTGGCCGATTCACCAAAAGGGATTGCTGTCCTGAACTCATGGGCATTGGTGGTCCAGGTGGTCGAACTGATTGATATTGGACAACTGATGGCCTCGGTGGAGGTACAGGGAGGCCACCGCTAGATGGAGCAGAATACTGCGCTGTATTTGGAGGAACACGAGGTAGATTCAAGGCAAGACCTGGTGGTGGGGGTAGAGGGCGAACAGACGGCACACCAGGTCTTGGAGGAGGAGCTGCAGGACCAGGAAGATTCCTTGCATCATTGTTAAGAACATCATTCTGATCCTCTCCGTTGATATTCTGTGACATGGCTTGATTTGCTGTGCGGCCAATGCTTCCAGTGTGACCATCCCATATGACCTGCTTTGGTTGCTCATCTTTCTTTTTTTCAATCTCAGCCTTGACAGCGTTAGAAACTTCTTCCTCTGTGGTACCAAAAATATCAGGACGGGTTCGTGCAAGGCCCACAATGTTTCTTGAGATTTCATCATCCTGGGCGAGAGTAGTCTCTCGAATCTTGGCAAACATCCGTTCTTTTTGCTCTTTGTATTTTGGATCAATGAGAGAAATCCTCATGTGTTCAGACATCTCATTGATAGGGATAAGCTCTCCAGTGATTGGTGAAATGACGTACTTTGTTGGGTCTCTTTCAGCAGGGATCCTGTCTTCAGGTCTCTTCCAGTTCTTCACAATTCTCATTGGTGGATCTGGATCATCTGTCACCTTATTCTCATTCTTCTTTTCAACACCATTCTCTTCAATTCTGGCTGTCCTCAAGCCCTCTTCAACAAGCTGCATCTCTTCTACATCCATTTCCATTTCCACCTCCTTACCAGGCTCAACAATATCTTCTTCCATATCTGTGACCTTGCTTCTCCTTATAACCTCCTCAAGGGTCATTGGAGGAGGTAAATCCTCATCCTCATCATCTGCAAAGTCTATTGATTCAACCACAACAAAATCATGCCAATCAATCATAGCCATTTGCATCCTTTCCAGCTCAATCTCATCTTCTTCCTTCTGCCTTGCCTGCTCTTGTGAACGCTCCCACTCCAGCCGATGCACACACCGTTCAAGCACCGTTGTCATGTCTGCAATACTTTTCTTAAGCTTCTCTGTCAACCCCGTCGGAGGCATCAACACCTTTGAGTAAGCATCAGCCAGAGAAGTGAAAAGTGTAAACATACTATGGTTAGGTTTTAAAAAATGGAACTGGGGGTTATTCGTTTCCCTGTTTGTCAATCCTAACAAAAATGATTTCCCATTTCGAGCTACAAACTGGGCTGTGAGCTTTATAATATCCAACTCTTCCCCAGTAATCCCTTCAGGAAGCCGAACAGTATACTGCTCAGCTTCGGGTTTTTCTGGTGGTTCAGGCACTTTGAGCACCGATTTAAACTGAGCAGAGGGATCCAGCTTTGGTGCTCCTGTTTCACCATCTGCAGCTGGAGCTGGTGGGGCTGACTCAGGTGTTGCAGAATCTTCAAGCTGCAAAGAAGGTTGCTGTCCAGAAGACTGATTCTGGGCACGGAACTCAGACAATCGATGCTGATAATATGCATGGTAGGGATCTGAGGAAATCAAAAAGCTGAACTTTGCATTTCCGGTATTATTAGCTATGATCCTTTTCTCAAACTCCGGTCCATTCTTTGCCACGAATTGGGAAGTTTTGTCAACAATATTTCTGATGTCTTGAGGAGGATAAATGATACCAATAGCCCTAGTATGTGTTGCAACGGAGTTGGCTTTGTTCTGCTCCTCATTCAATTGTTTCTCATCGTTATTAGGTTCAGTCACTTGGGATTCTGGAAGAGGCCCAAGGTCTCCATCAGAAGGAGGAGCCGGTAAGGGCAAAATGGAACCTATCATTTTCCTTATACAAAAACAGAAACTTACGTAACAATTCGCAAACTAAAGGGCATCAAAAAAACAGCTTTTTGCTCATCCACAACCTGCACATATACAAATACATAAGACAACTTATAAAAGTATTGAGCTACTATTAAGTAGAGAAAAATCAATTCAGGCCGACCAGCAACAATTTCAAAGATGAATGTGATAAAGACGAGAACACTAACAGTCCTACTGAAAGCAAGTCAGCCAAATTGATTAACACGACCCCCAAAAACCAGCTTTCCAGCATTCTAAGGACATAATTTCACCACAAGCTCTACCTCTACATGGAAATATATACAAATCTTCGATTTTCTAGGCAAACAGATGGAAAACTCAATTCTTCTTTTCTGAATAAATTATAGTACCAATTGAAAGAGAACCTCAAACACAGATAGAATCCAAACACCAGAAACGAAAAATAAATAGAAACTGCATCTTTCAAAACGAAACAAACATTAGTACAAAAGCCTAGTTCAAGAGATATTCGCACGATAAATAAAGGTGAGAATCGAGATCCTCGTAGTTTTAAGAGTAACGAAATATTAGGGTTTAACGCAGAGAGAGAGAGAGAGAGAGAGTACCTTAGGTCTGTAATTAGATTCTTCTAGGGTTTCAAAGTCCCCCCAACTGCCGTAAGAGAAAAGAAGAGAGACTGTGTAATGTATTTTATTTAATAACATACACCGTCACGACCCAATTTTCTGAAAAAAATACCATCACTGAATTCCTAATTTGCCTTCTTTTGTAGAGCGAAATTTAAGGGTTTTTAAATGAAATTTTTATTTATTATTATAGTTTTCTCTTCAAAAAATATATAAACGCCAACATGGAGTGAAAAAAAGCTTTTATCTTATAGTTTAGACTTTCACTTATATTTAAAAAAGGGGGTTTTAGATTCAATGATCTCTGAACTTTGACCCGATTCGCATTTTGGTCCCTCAATTTTCAAAACCGTTCACATGATCCTTCAACTTCAGTTTCGTTAAGATAAATGGTTTTGCTGTCAATTTTGTTAACTTTTTCTGTTAAATTTCAGCATGTGCATGGTTTACTATTAGGGGTCAATATCAGAAATTGCTTCACTCCAGGGATAAATTAAAAATATTTAGATGGTAGGTTTTAGTTTTTAGTATTTATTTTTATGTGAAAGGAATATTCAGATGGTGGAAATTAAAAATAATACAAAAAGACCATTTTACCCCTGCATTTAATGTAAAAGATAACAAAATTGACAGCATGACCATTTGTCATAATGAAACTAAAATTGAAAGACCACGAGAAGGATTTTGAAAATTGAGGGGCCAATATGTGAATCGGGTCAAAATTCAAAGACTATTAAACCTAAAACCCAGAAGAAGAAAAAAAACAATTTTCATCCATAAAATTTAAATTGCTGATCTCTGACAATAAAATGAGACTAATATGTAAGTAATAAATTTGGTTCCATAATGTTTGTGCATTATATGTAGGAGTATGATTTGCAAATAAGTCTAAATGGTTTTAACTAATCTTAAGGCCATCTCCAGTCATGAGGGCTAAATGCAACAATGGATTACAATTTAGCTCTTCAAAATATTTATTTCTAAAAGAATAAAGTAGGGCTAAATTTTTCCATCTCCAATCATGCATGGCTATATTTTAAGGCACTTTATATTTTATTATTTTGAGAAAATTATGGTGCAGCACTCATACAATCCACTACTATGTATTGTTTAAATTAATTAAACTACTATTTAGAGACAATATTCCAAATATAACATGTGTGCGTTGATAAGCATTTAACATGATTTATGATAAGAGTGTGGAAAATATTTGACCAAAAAAATAATGTGGAAAGTTGTGAATATGTGATAAAATTTATAAGAAATGTGGAATGAAATAAGTGTTAAAAAATTTGAAGAAATTTGGAGGTATTTATAGAAATATTTTATTTATTTAAAGCCAACAATGGCTATTTTTGAAAAAATGGACGCACTTTTCAAAAAGTTTTTTTAAAAACAAATTTTTTTATTACAATAAAAATGTTAGAAGAAAAAAAGGTAATGACTAGCTGACGTTAGCTTAATAGCATCCCTTGGATGAATCTGTCTATTAGTTTCCAATTACATGAACTAATCTCGTGATCACGCCCACGAGAAATTATAGAATGGTATAGTATCACCATGTCAGCTGGTGATACTTCCATTCAAAATTCGCCACATGTATTATTTTTTGACAACTGGATTCAACACTCATATTTACTTTTAAAATAAAAATAAAATTATTTTTTAAAAACTTTAAAAATAAAAATAAAAACCCAAAAACCACCCGCTTCATCAACAGTGATCCCTCACCACTGTCTTTCTTAAACCCTCATTCTCACCGTCTTCCCTAAACCCTCATTCTCTGTGTGAATTTGATGACACGCCAACACATGGATGATTCCACTTTCACAATCATTTGGAAAAAAAAAATTGATTCGGCTATTGATACATAGAAAGCTATGCAACCAAGATTGGATTCCTATTCACCTATAAAATTTGCTTTTCTTGTCGATAATCTCAATGGCCATATACCCTGTAGGACTTTGGAAGCTTATCTAAATTCCTTGAACCCTAAAGCCATCATAGAGAGAAAATTCCATGAACCCTAAATCCATAATAGAGAGGAGGGATGGAGAGGGAGAAAGAGAGAGAGACTGGAAAAATGAGAGAACGATGGGAGCCAGGGCAGAAAGTGGGCAGGCAGAGGCTTGGTCGGCGAGCTCGGGGAAGTGGTTGTTGGGGATTTTTATTATTAATGAGTTTTTTTTAATTATTTTAGTTTTTTTTTTATGGTTTTAAATTATAAAATTAGATTTTTAAATCCAGCTGTATAAATAATTAATTTTTCTTTAAAAAATAATACATATGGCGCATTTTGAATGGAAGTATCACTAGATGACGTGGTGATACCGTATCATTCTATAATTTCTCCACGCCCACGCGTGATTCTTCCTCCTGTGAAGCAACACATGCATGGGCCCCACACAAAAAAATTGGCATGGGCTACAACTGGGCTATGTGTGGCATGGTAGAAGGGCTAAATGGTTAAATGTGGCCCTTAAAATTTAGCCCATAACTAGAGATGATTTTTACACATTTTGGGGCTTACATTTGGCCTATAGCTCATTAGGGGTGGGCATCGGGACCGAAAAACTGGAACACTTAGTCGGGCCAGATGGAAAAAATAGGAAAAAAAAAATCGGTAGACTAAAAAGTCACAAACCGACACCAAACCAAACTGAACCGATTCCAACCGATTCTTGTTCTGATTTCACATCTTACCAAACCGAATCGGACTAGTTGTGTATTATTTTAATTTTTTTTCAAAATTATTTAAATCCTGTAAACCGTGGATACTTCTCGTATAGATACCTTGGGTTTGATCTAGGGGGCTTGGGCCCATGCAAAGCCCACGAGTGCGGATGACCTCCGAAAAAAGATCTGCACACTTGGAATGATATCAGAATCAGGGCGGACTGGGGTTGATTTCAGTCTAACCCTTTCCGATGATTAAGTCAGAAACTAATCTTTGCTAGAGAGAATGGAAGTATGGTTTATATTATGTGTAGAGTTATTTCTTATCTTTGTCTGGAGATAGGTGAGGGGTATTTATAGAAGGGAAAAGGGGAGGTCCAGATATTTTATGGGATAGATCTTTTCTTTACTTCCCTCAATTTGAATCGTACTTAATGCTCTGTTTCTGATCACCTTACTTTATGACAGGGGTCATGTGGCAAGGTGACAGGTGAACAAGGATGGGAGACATATTAAATGTTCCCTTTCTGTCACTGACTTGTTTTCTCAGAGATTTAAAGGGCAAAGCGACGCTTGCTTAAGGATGGGACGTGCATCGACCGACTTTCCCTGTCTGCCAGGTTGTTTCATTTAATGCATCTTTAAGCAAGACATGGTGATAAAGTGGTCGGGTCATTCCTCAAACACCCGATCACTTCTCTCATTTTGATCTCTCACTTTTCTTGGCTCGGTACATGAGTTTTCTTCCGAGGGGCTTGGCTCACTTGTGATAATATGAGTTATCAACAAATCCAATGCTACATTTTTAATCTCATAACTAATATTTTCCCAAACCCAACTTCTAAACATCTCTCTTTTCTAGGCCAAATATTTCTTTTTGTATGAAATTGAATCATTTGTTAATTTTCAAGCCCAAAAAATAAAATTTTAGTTCGAATTTGTATAAAAAAAAGTCAGTACCAAACAGGGCAAAATTGTAATTCTGCGTTTTTAAGTGTTCCAAATTCCCTTTATACACCCTATCACGATCTCAAGTCCAAGTGCCAAGTGCCAAGTGCCAATGATGATAAGGTTCTAAGGGAAAACATGTCCAGCATTTCCTCCTTCTGTATTTGTTGAGAGAGCAAACGAGAGATGGCAGAAGTTGGTCATTTGGTATCAGCAAGACTTATTAAGCTTCCTACTGTAAAGCCAGCAAACCCGAAACCCTCTCAATTGGTGCCTCATTCATTCAAAATCAGAGCTGCTTCAAAAAGAAACTCTTTCTCTCTGGTAATATGACCAACAAATATATGTAATTCTGAAACTCCATTCTTTTCTTTCTTCTTGGTATTTTACTGTGATTTCCTTCATGATTTTCTTGCCTACAATATTATCTACAACTTCATCTCCTTTTGTGTACATGTGTTGGCCACGTAATGTACATGATATTTTTCTACTTGGTCCGACAAATTAATGCAGAGCAACAAAAAGAACAGCAGGAGTCTGATCAAAATATCAACAGCAGATGGGAGATGGCATGGGAATTGGTGCTGCGATTACCTTCTCTCCCTCCATGACCTGCGTTTGGAAGATTTGATTGAAGATGAAAATGAAAAGGATGCACAAGTTTCAGTTAATCTCTGCGTCCAGAAGGTCACTCCTATTTTATATGACCTTTTAGTTGATTACAACTTCCTCAGATCACATTATTTCATCATTATAGAAGTTTGATTTTTTTGTTTTAAATTTTTTTTAATGAAATAAGTTTAAGTTAATGTCATCAAGAATCTTCAGATTCGTATCGCTAAGTGGTTAATTTATAACGTATCGTACCATTTTCTAAGTCGTTTGATGCGGTTGATTAATAGGGCAACACTTTAGAGCATGTAAGTACATTAGGGATTTTTTTTCCCTCTCTTTTTGGCTGTCATGTATACGGATCGTTATATAAGCGAAACGAAACTCTGAAACGAACCGAATTTCCTAAATGCAGTTGAGTTTCTTTGTGCAGATTAGGGTAGTAAGGAAGATAAAAGTGGTATTAATTAGCAGAGATTAATGGTAGGTATATATACTCAACAACCCTAATTTTCCCTTGTGATAATTACCAGCATGCTAGCTTTGGCTTCTCTGTTGATGGAAAGATCATGACATCATTCACCAGAAAATGTAGCAACTGCTCTTCTCCATACTGCAGAAAGGTACTTTGTCTTTGCAGAAGCCTGAAACTTTGATGCTTTATCCAATCATAAATTCAATCCAGCTGATTTTATACATGTGCATTGTAACAGATCAACACACAATTTAATGTATGGGTTCTGTCGTCAAGCAGAGACGAGCACACAATTCAACTGCCTGAGATCGGTGGTGACGATCCATCATTAAGTCTCTAAACTCTCTCCCTCTTGCTCTCTGTCACTCCCCAAGATAGTGCCTTAACACAGCTGCTTCAACAGGTAATCTATGTGAAGCCTGGAAATGAAGCTGAACTCGATTCGCTGATACAGGACACGATACGGCTTGCCACCTCCATAAAAGTAAGAACTACTAATGCAATACTTTTGAATGTAAAACCAACATGACGCAATACTTTTTCCTATACTAAATGATCGACGAACGAATGCGGGAAATTTTACTTTGCAGGATACTTGTTCAGAGCTGTGTGAGAAATCTTATCCAACTGTAGAGTGTAAGTTTTCTGTGACAACTTCAGAACTAGAAGATTAGCAATTAATTTAAGCAAGGCCAATTCCTAATACAATTACGATTTGCAGATATTGGTGGACAAAGCACTGCTTCTATTGATAAGAGGTGGTCTAGACTCTTGGAGCTAAGGGATTTGCAATGATATGCATAAAATTGGAGGAATTGTTCTATCTACATCTATGGTGTGTGTTTATATCAGTGTAAATAGTATTTTGTAAAGACAATGAAGAGTTTTATTATCCACAATTAAAGGAAAAGATTGTAAAGGTGATGCTCTTAACAGGCGTTGGATGGAACCAGAAGAAGAGAAGCCGAGTTCTAAATGAAGAATACAATGTGAAGGATATTTTATACAACATACTTCCTCATTTGAAGGCTGCCAAAGGAAGATTTGAGTCTTGATTTGTCAAGATTAACTTTGTTTAGGTCAACGTAAGAGCTTATGAGCATCTCTTGTTGTTAATGGTCATTTCCTCTTGGAAGGTGTATAATGAGCAATGGGGAGTAGGGGTGACAATTTTAAAAAGAACATCGTTACATGATTCAATGATGACATAAAACAATTGTATCTGTATTGAGTAAAATCGTATGAAGTGTCATTTTAGGATAAACGTCGTGAAAATCCTATCATTTTCTTTCCGAAAATTTAATTCAATCTGAGGATTAATAATCATGTTGTGTTATTGTGGATCGAATTAGTGTAATACATAACATGACACTAGAAACCAAAATGCCATCATAAATTGAGTATTGAGAGGAATTATTTGAATTTCCCTAATTAATTATTATTTTTTATCAATTGGGTAAAATTCATCAAATCTGTGATAAATTAGACGCCTTTCCCAACTCCCAGCTCCCAATCTCTAGCCAATCTCGCGCCATCTCATTACCTACGACAGACAATACCTGAGAAAATCAGAAATGGGGACGACGACGCTGGCGCCGGGACTGTCCCGGAAGCTGAAGAAGGTATTGGAATGTCGCACAGACACTCCCGATGTGCTCGCCTCACTCAACACCCTCTCTTCTTTCTATTCCGAAAATACCCCTCAGTCGCGGCGCAATCTCCGATCCACCATCGAGAAGCGAGGCCTCTCCATCAACCTCGAGTTCCTGGAGGCCTCCCAGGCGGCCCAAGAGGCCTTGGATCGCGTGGAGGACGAGGTCGGTGCCCTGGCCAGTAGCTGCGACAAGATCGCCGTGGCTCTCAGCAGCTGCACTGCTACCACCGGTGACATTATCGCCACCACCGAAAGGCTGAAGCAGGAGCTCAACGTGACCACCCAGAGGCAGCAGATCGTGTCTTGCTTCCTCCGGGATTACCAACTCTCGAATCAAGAGGTACCCATCAAGCCATATGTGTGGATAATTTATCTGTGTTGAGATTTGCATCAATTTGATTTGTTTGTTTATGTGAGTTTTTGTAGATAAGTGCATTGAGGGAAGAAGAACTGAACGAGAACTTCTTCAAGGCGCTTTCTCATGTTCAAGAAATTCATGCCAACTGTAAATTGCTCTTAAGAACACATCACCAGGTACTCTCTTCTCAATCTCTCTCTCTCTCTCTCTCTCTCTCTCTCTCTCTCTCTCTCTTCTCTGAAATTTGTTTGAATCAAGGAAACTTAAAAGGTGATAGTATACTAACAACCCAATTTACTATTCACTTGCAGCGTGCAGGTCTCGAGCTCATGGATATGATGGCTGTCTACCAAGAAGGAGCCTACGAACGCCTCTGCAGGTTTTTCTCTTCTACCATCTTCCTTAATGTGCACATGTATAAGGAAATTTTCTCTTCTCAAACAGCTTGACATGTCATTGTTGGCAAAGTTTCAACATTTACCATTTATTAGGTGAATTCTTGTTTATATGTGTGACCCAGATTTACAGATTGACAATATAATATGCTTTGATCTGGCAAGAGATCATTACCACTATGTATAGTGGTTGTTTCAATTTTTTGACACTAGTATTCTAATAGGATAAATAAAATATGATATATTGGGTCTTTAATTAACCCCGTCTTCTAGGTGGGTTCAGGCGGAATGTAGAAGACTTGGCGACTCTGATAATCCTGAAGTTAGTGATCTTTTGAAAACAGCAGTTCGTTGCCTCAAGGAAAGGCCTGTCCTTTTCAAGTATTGTGCAGAAGAGGTGATTCTCTATGCTAACCATTTCACCTGATTCACTTCCTACTACCTTGTTTATTGATTTTCTGACCAATTTCTAGGTAGCAAATATGAGGCATAATGCATTGTTTAGGCGGTTCATCAGTGCTCTTACACGTGGAGGACCTGGTGGAATGCCTCGACCCATTGAAGTTCATGCTCATGATCCCTTACGATACGTTGGGGACATGCTAGGTTGGTTACATCAGGTGTGAAAACAAAGGCCTATTGGTTGCGTTCCACTTCCATTTGTGAAGTATAATTCATCATCTGGCAATCGTAATTTCTTGCTCCCTTTGCAGGCCTTGGCATCTGAACGGGAACTTGTCTTTCTATTACTGGATCCAGATGCGGCGGTAGATACTGGTCCAGCCACAAACCAATTCTCCAGGAGCCCTGAAAGTGATTCTCGAAAGACAGAATCTGATTTGACATTTGTTATGGATAGAATTTTTGAAGGAGTTTGCCGGCCATTTAAAGTAAGAGTTGAACAAGTTTTGCAGTCTCAATCGAGTCTCATAATTTCATACAAACTAAGTAATACCCTGGAGTTCTACAGCCACACTGTAAGTGATGCCTTTCCTTATTCATCAATTGAACAAATTGTCCCACATGTTATTTGCTTTTCTTTTTTCTTTCCCCTGATCTATGGCTGTGTTTACTTGCAGATATCAGATTTTCTTGGGAGAGAAACAGCTTTATCTGATACATTGTGGACACTGAAGGATGCTGCTCAGAAAACTTTCTTTGACATTCTGAAAACCAGAGGGGAAAAGCTTTTGAGGTATCCTCCCCTTGTTGCTGTTGATCTTTCCCCTCCACCAGCAGTAAGGGAAGGAGTCTCTCTGCTGCTTGAAATAGTGGAGACGCATAACAGCATGATGCTTCCTACTTTAGGAAAAAATCCTGCGTTTGGTCCGGTCATTTCTGCTTTGCTCGATCCAATTATTAAGGTGTGTTGTGCTGGGCATTTGGTTATGTAAATGGCATGCTTGGTAAGCTTGCTTCTAGTTTCGTGATGGTCAAAACAACATTGAAATTAGTTTTTAAGCATGATTGAAGTTTCAACACTATGTCATATTCCCATTAATTAAGGACAAACTACAAAGAACTTCACTTTGAGTGCTGTTGCGCCTATTGTTGTGAGTCCATATAATCCCACAACCAGATGCTCTCTATATTAGTAGCAATTTAAGTTGAATTTGTTGCAGAGTCAGACTGTGAAGTCATATCTGGAAACATCTTACCGAGGACAATATTTCATTGTACTTCTTCCAGAATTCATGTTACAGATTTAATGGGACTTAAAACTGTGTTGATGCATTCCATGTGAAAATTAATATTTAACCTCAGTTTGAGAGCAGAGGTAGTCTTCAGTTTGTTTAAATGTTGAATAAATTCCATTACTTCAACCATTGCAGATATGTGAGCAAGCAGCAGAGGCACACAAGTCCAAGGGAGCTGGCCACTCTTCTAGAAGAAGTAGGTTGAGTTCTGACTTAGGTCAATTTAGTAAATCACCAGTTGACGCACTATTGTCCAACAGCAGTTCTGCCCCGTCATCTCAGGTTTTCTTTTCTCATTTATTTCCAAGCGTCTGATTTCAAAGTATCTTCACTTAATCAGAGGATATCGAGTCTTTCTGTTGCATTTTGTTGTAATTCTCGTGGCTTGTTGTTTCATTTTGTTGTAATTCTCATCAACTCTAGTGCATAGAATTATTCCTGGTTCCAAATTATGTCAAATGTCAAACGTCAAGCTAGTTTCAAAGATTTTTGTGACCCACTGTAATATTCTGGCCAATTCCCTTATTCTGTAGTTGTGTAACTGAGTTTAAGGCTTATTAAAACTAAAATGTTTGAGCTTATCATTCTGCCTTACTATTCTTAAAAAACTTATCAAAAGAGGAAAAAGAAAACTAGAGTTTGTAAGTCTGATTCTACAGGTATTATTATGACTTTCCACAGGATTTGGTATGCAGAAAAACAAGTCCTCGGTACTAGAACCCTATGTCTGGAAATATAAGTGTATCAAAAACCAGCTATGACAAGGGAAATTGGTGTGATTTTTGAAAATAAAAGGCCCTTGTATTTAATGATTAATAACTTTGATCTTGTGATTCTCATGCATAGTCTTCTTCATTGCTTTCGTACTAATGCCTTTTTAATGGATTGGTGCAGTCTAGTGGAACATCCTCTAAGATTTTCCTCATCAATTGCTTGTGTGCCATCCAACAACCATTGTCTGGGCATGAGGTTGCAGCGGAATACGTGAAGAACCTCGGGATGATGATAAATAGACACATGCAAGCACTTGTAGAAAATGAAGTTGATGCCATCCTTAGAAGATGCGGCTTGTCACAGAAAATTCCTTACTTCCGCAACTCACTCAACAAGGAGACTGGCAATACCCCCCTGGTAGAGATTGAGGACACTTCTCCAGCCTCTCTCTCTGAGTGTTTGAAGGCTTTCTTTGGGCTTGTTTTGGGAAGTGAGAGTTCCTTGCCTGAATTTGAGCAGATGCAGGTTCCAAAGTTGCGTTCTGAAGCATGTATCCAAGTGGCTAGATCGTTGGCAGAAGCATATGATCTTACATACCAGGCGATTATGGATCCCAAGAATGGCTACTTAGATCCTAAGTCACTGGCAAGGCATCCTCCAGACCAGATAAGGACCATTTTAGGAATATAAAGCACCAATTTCTTCTTCTTCTTTTTCCCTCTTGCCTCCCATGTGTCTTAATCTTATAGATTTGCTTATTCTTTTTTGAACAGATTGTCAAACTCTTATTTCCAACAAATTAGTTTATTAATTGACTATTTGATTTTCAAACTGTTAATATTCGTTAGCAAAAAGAAGAAACAGGTAAACGAGTTGTTCATTTGTGTTTTTCTTTGGTGAACGATGGATAATGCGCGGAACGCATTAACTACATTATGTGTGATATACTATGGAATACTCTCTCTCTCTCTCTCTCTCTCTCTCTCTCTCTATATATATATATATATATATATATAATTTTAGTTCAAAATCAAAAATACTACCAAATAATATCAAGCATAACACAAAGAAACATCTTATCAAAAAAAAGTTATGCATCACATAGCAAATGTCTAGAAAATTACTAAAACCAAATATACAAAAGAAAGGTGTATATATTAAAAGATTTTTCAGAAAGAAAAAAATAACTAAAAGTATATTTTGCAAAGATAACGGGTCAGTATCGTATTTCATGAATCTATCCTGACTTGTTAATGATCATGTTACTATCGTGTCAACCCGTTATTGACCCAGTCCAATAAGGCTTAAACTGAACACTAATTTATTTATTTTTGATATAGTTGAGATCTTTAATTTTCTTAAGGGAAAAAAAAAAGTCAGGATGCAAATTGAAAGTATGGTACAAGTTTAAGGGGGTGTTTTAGCGGTTTAGCCTATTACAGGATTCCTATTATTACACAACTCAAACATGGGAGCAATAATGGAAACTATTTTTTATTATAATAATTAGTAATTCAACATGGATGAGAGGCATTCGTTCCCATCTCGAATGAGTTTAGGCATAACAGGCGTAAATTTCAAATCTGATGTAACTGTTATAAATAGCACGTCAATTTACTTTTCCATAACTATGAACTAGAAGTTCTCTTCTTGCAGTATGAAGACACTTTTTACAATCTGCGTCAGAAAGATCTCAAGTGCATTCCAGCATATTAAAGATCTTAGTCTTGTTTATCACTTTTCGAACTCCTTGAGCTTATGACGGTCCAAGAACAGTATTAGCAATTAGTGCATTGAACAACTCATCAAACTTTATTTTGAATCAATGGTGGATTATCAAAAGGGCAATGATTTCCCCACTCCTATTTTATCCACTTACACTCCTTTTTTAGTTATAAAAAAGGAGTGTAAGTGGATAAAATAGGAGAAAAAGGAGTGGGGAAATCACCACTCTTATCAAAAAATTTGCAATTCGTACCATAAATCCCGTTATTTGTGTCAATTTTACCAAATTACAGCTCCTTTATTGAGCAGGCAACGCTTGTAAAGTTCAAGGATTGCACTCTGATATTACTTGTTATTGTTAATCAGTTGCCGAAATTTGATGGGGTGTATTTGAGTTGTCTGTGGTTGCTATACTCTATCTGGATCAATGGAAGGTTGAGCAAGCGTTTGCATTGGAGCAAAATGATGGAATAGAGTTGGCACCCTTTTTGATATGCCTCAAATTGGCCAACGTTGCTGGGTTATGCTTCACATGCAGCTCACTATAGCAGTACTCAAGAGTGTTCACACAAGCTTCAAGTGTGAGGTGTGAACGATTCAATTCAATGCCGTTTGGAACAGCAAATCAGTTTTTGCTCATTTCCACTGACAGGTTGCCGACTTTAAGAGCGTAGAACCTGTTGAGGGTTTAGGATTTATCTCTAGGGTCTAAGTGTAGAAACTGTTAAGGATTTTTTAGCTCTTGATTTTGGGATCATTCCCGCGGCAACGGATAAACCTGCATGCAAAATCGCTGTTGTTCAAACGGCAGACAAAGTTCTGGTGGTTGACCTCATGAGTGGAGAAATTACTTTTATATAACTTGAGTTTAGGGTTTAGCTCTTGGGGCACGTTTTGGAGAAAAATAGGACGCCATTCGAATGAAACAGATGTCAACAGTACGAAACTCATATAAGCTGACTTCATATGTGCGTGTTTTCCAAAACAGGCAGAAAAATCACAACACAGAAGCAGGCAGGGGCCGTACCTTGCACAAACTAAACCCACCAAACTGGCCTCAACAAATAAAGGGCATTATGGAAACACTTGAACATGACAGAAACACTGATACAGAAACTCCAACGAAAACGAATTGCAAATAACAACAGCTGAAACCACATAACCAAGAAGTACAAGATATAGTCCATTGTCTGCAGATGCGCGTACTCAGAGAAGAAACTGAATATTCCATCCAGCAGCCCGACAGTTTACATCCCTTGCCAAAGCATGCTTAAATTACTCCCCAGTTCTACATTTACAGCAAGGAATTCACTGATATTTTTTCGAACGAAATGTGGTAGATTAATCAAGCCCAAACCATCCAGATCAAGTTGGCAGCAAAGTAATTTGAAGTAATGAAACAAAACATCATGTGCATCCAAGGAACCTGACTGACAATTGGCATGATTCTAGAACTACCCTTTTAATAAGGCTGCTTGACAGCATAAAGATATACCATTGAGAGAAGCAAGATTGACAACAGGTTTCACTAGACATCAGTTGTTAAGTAACACGGGATTTCAAAGTTCGGAGAATACTAAATCCAACTAGTGTCACCGGGTTGCACTAAGTTCCTCGTCTGAGATTAAAGGGAGAGAGAAAAATTGTTAGCTCAATCTATATCTACCAAAGCCCTTCTTACAGACAATATGATCAAACACTCATTCATCAACAATGTAAAATTAAGAGGACTGTAGCACCGAGAGAAGAAAAAGGGTGTTATCATACACAATAATCTATTTAGACTTCTGCAATTAAGCTTGCTCACCCGAGAGATGTGTTTGATTTTGCGAGCTTTTGTCGAGCAAGTGATGCCAAGTAGATCTTTAAACAATGTGGACTTCATGGTCTTTCACACTTCTTTGCTTAGACACATGGTGCAGTACTTGTTTTGTTCAAGATGTCATCCACACAACATTTTTTTTCTTCTTCTTTCGGGAATGCATTTTACTTGCAAAAGCCCCAAATTATGTCCAGTCTGACAATACTGTCAAACACAGGTTTGGTTCACAGTGGAAAAGATAGAAAGTGAAAGTTGAACATAAATCCACATGCATCATGAGCTGGTAAATTACCTGAGGCACAAACATCCATCCAGTTTTTCCAATATATCCTTCAACAGCTGCGATATCATGGTTGGAAGCCACACTGTGCAGCAGGCTTCTGTAGCTAAGCAATAAACTCCAATTGAGAGGACAAAAGACATAAATAAACAAATAAAGAACTGAAACAATATAGAGGGTTACCTTTTCATCTTCGTTACGCCAGAAAAATGAAAAAATTTAAATGGCGTAAAACCACCATTAGCATTGCTTCCAATTTTCATGCTTCAACTTCCACCAGCTGAACTCTTTGTGTTTGACAGTGTTCTGTGGCAAGCCAAAATTTATACTTAAGGCATAATTGTCCCCAGAGGTTTTAAAAAAAAAAAAAAAATCATGTAAAACTGTTGCCTGCCAACAAACTGATAATCTTTTTTTTTTTTGGTTGGGTACAAAGGAGGAGGGGTAGGTTTGAACTATAGTATTGTCCTAAATTTCATTGTTTTCTATTTTCGGCAACTAATTGAGAACTTTCTGGTTTTTGTGCATTTTTCTTCTGACTAAAACTTTGCAGCTGAAGCCAGAATGTGTGAATTTGCACAGCTTAAAGGAAGGCATAGTTACCAGAAAACACTACATAGACACATGAAACATATTTATGGGTGCTAACTGACCAGAGGGCTGATTACAATAGTCAAATTTAGTTATCTTTTCCTTTAGACCTTTAAGGTTATTCTGCGAATTGATAATATGAAATTTCAGATGGCTTCAATCACAAGAACCTTTAAATGGTACATGAACAATCATGAGAGAGAGAGAGAGAGAGAGAGAGAGAGAGAGAGAGAGAGAATCATAACATTTTCAAACCAGAGATATTAAATCATGAACCATGTTGTTAAATTTTTATAACTTTCTATCAATATGTTCAATATGTTCAAAAATTTGGTGCGAGACTGATTAAAAAACCTAAGCAAGCAAGGTTAATAAAAAAACTTCAGTTACCTCATAAAAAAAGCAGAAGACTAATATAATGTCATTCATATTATGGATTGGGTATATTCACAGAAAGATTGCTGCAAAACAATACATATAATGCCTGTCCAAAACTTGCAAATCGAATGGCATAACACAAAGAGATAATAAATAAACAGAGCACACATACATATCACCCAAGTGATAAACAATTATCTAAATTGAAAGGATAGGAAAACTTTCAAAGAGCCAAAAAATATACCTGCATCTGCATGCATGATGCCTTGCCTGGTCCCTCATTGACAGGGAAGAAAGCACCTACATCACTTAGGTGGCCAGCGTTCTGAGTTCTACTAATTGGCCCTGCCAAAATTGGAAACTATTTCCTTTGCTAATTGACTAGCTTCTCGTATTTCCCCTCTTGAACAGAGTGTAGCAATTTGCTTATAGCAATAGTCAAAGTCATCCAATTTAGACCTTCTCCCTTTATCATCGTAATTTTCTGCCACATTCTTTACATCCCTCATACCAGAAAATTGGATATCCATATCCGCATCAGTAGAGGTTACAGATGTTGAAGCAACTGTACCATAAGCCTCCCTGTCATAAGGATTGTGTAGTTTATGAGATTGATTGCAGGCATTAGGTGAACTCCGAACAGGAAAAAATATGGACCCAATTTCGTTGAGGAGAGTAAGTGATTCTTGGACACTGCCTTGCTCACATAATGAAACGAGCAAACCTTCCAGTGAGTCTGTTTCAACCTCCACATCAACTCTATTTATTAGCTCCACAACAGATTGTGACTGAAGCATTTCCCTCAAGATGGTTCTGGCTTCTTCCATCCTTCCCTTGGCACATAAACCTCTTATCAAATATAAGAAACCCAAAAAATCAGGTGATGTACCTTTACTCTTGAGCTCAATAAAGAATTCAAGAGCACCTTCCATATCACCCTTTAGACAAAACCCATTGATTATAATACTAACAGTGAATTCATCAGGCCTGAGGGTTTTTAAGTCAAATTCATAAAGAAGCTTCAACGCATCCTCCATATGTCCAGTTTTGCAATAACCATCAATAATTGAGTTATATATATGTGTATTTGGTTTCAAGCCTTTGAGGACCATCCTCTCAAATAACTGCTTGGCATCCAGAAGAAAGCCCTCTCTACGTAAAGCATCAATCAATGTAGCATATGTGATTTCTGAGGGAACCAAATTAATTTTCTCCAACGAATCAAATAGCCGAAACGCTTCTACAAGGTGGCCTTGGCGGCACAATCCGTTTAAAACTGAATTATAGCAGATGATATTAAGGGTAACCCCTTTATTTTTAGCAAAACAACATAGATCTAATGCCTCACTGATATATCCTACTTTACAAAGGCCATCAACCATAAGCGAATAGTCAAGCGCATCCAGAACAGGTAAGCCATCTTCAGCCACCATGACAAGTTTATATGCATCCAAAACTCTACCATTCTTTATAAGTGTCTTAAAAAGAGAAACAGGCAAAGTGGCCGTTGCAGGCTTGTCCTTCATTTTGTTTAGAAACCGGAGAGCATCATCGACACCCTTCAGACATATGTAGTAAGCTAGAATCTTACTTACCTTAGGTTCAACTAGGCCATATTCTTTCTCAATGAAGTTTTGCTTGTGGCAACTGACCCTTTCCTCCTCATCGCCAAAAACACTTCACATGCAGACTCAGGAAAACCTCTCTTGCACAAGAAACTGATAGCATCATTGCTTATAACATCATACACTTCTGTCCTCAAATTCTCTGTTCTTTGAACCAAACATAAAACTCCAGCTGCACTTTTTTCTTCAAGAATTGCCTTCAACAGAATTTTGTAGATACCTAAATCCAAACCTAAATCTTTCCCATTGAGTTCAATAAATACCTCGGTGGCCATATCTACCATTCCCTGCTTACAGAGCCAACTGATAATACAATTATAACATGCAACTGAGGAAACTGGTGTCCTTCTGAACTCGTCAAATATCTCCAGTGCCTCATCCATTCTACCTACTTTACAGTACCCATCAATCATTGTACAATATGTAATGGAATCCGCAACCAACTCCTTTTCTGGCATTCCCCTGTACAGCATATAAGCATCCTCAAATGCCCCCACCATGAACAGTGATTTAATAACTATGTTACACATAACAACATCCATGCAGACTCCAGCTTCCTCCAATCTCCTCTTTGTTTCCATAATCCCTGTGATATTTTCTTCCTCAATATAGCCATGTAGCAATGTACTATATGTAATTGTATCTCCAAGAATTCCCTTTGAGATCTTATCAGCCTCCGATGTCCTCCCGAATTTGCATAATCCATTAATTACAGTATTGTATGTGACAATGCTCGGATTAATCCCCCTCTTTTCCATGTTATGTAGGAGATGAAAAACACCATCAAGATCCCCTCTCATGCAAGACCCGTTAATTAAAGTTGCATACATAAATTCATCAACTTCAATTCCCAAATCTTCAACCATCTTGAAAATAGCAAATGCCTCCTCCAATTTTCCTTTCTTGCAAAATCCCAACATGATGGCAGTATACGTAATCAAATTGGGTTCTAATCCACCTTTCCTCATCTTTATCAGAAAACCAAGTGCCTTTTCTACATCTCCTAGCTTGGAAAACCCATCTATCATTATAGTATAGCTAATTGTATCTGATCTTATGCCTTTATCCACCATCTGTCTATTCTTCTGAAATACCTCCATTAGAGCACCTTCTGAAATATAACCACAAATCCAACTACTATAGAAAACAACATCAAATGCCAATTCTTCCTTCTCTATCCTACAAACCAAATCACAAACTTCATTAACTCTTCCCAGTTTACAAAGAGCACCCACAAGTGCTGTATAAGTCACAATATTAGGCTGTAAAGCTCCCAAATTTACAGCATTCTCGAAAAATTTAACCGCAATTTCTGGCTTCCCAATCTTACAAAACCCAGAAATTACTGAACTACAAACAAAATTATCAAAGGGGTACCTCACTTTATCATCAGTCATCAACTCCAGGACCTCAATTGCCTTGCTCATATCTCCTTGATAGCTAAATCTATTAATTAATGAGAAAAAGGTGAAAGAAGAAGGAAAAATACCGTAGTTGATCAAGCAATCCCGTAATACCAATAAAGCTTTCTCCGGGTCTTTCCGGTTTATACATAGGCCTTGAATTAGAGAGTCCCAAATGCGATTACTCTGAAATTTTGAAGTTTCGGCCATCTGGGTCGTCATGAAATGCTCCGCCTCTTCATATTTGTGCAATTTTAGGAGAGCCCATGTGAGAATTGAGCGAGTCTGGGAGTTGCCTTTGATTCGGTTGGAGTCCATTTGAGAGAAGAAATGGATGACTGTGTTGAACCTGCGGGTTTGAGAAAGGAAGAGAAGGAATTGGATGATGGATTTGAGTGTGGGAGTGAAGCCGCTTTTGAGTAAAGTTTGAATAGGTGGGAGTTCTGGAAAACTGTTACGATAAGAAGAAGAAGACGACGAAGATGAAGAAGAAGAGAAGCATCGGCTGAGTTTAGTGTGGAAGAGAGTAGAGAACAACATTATCATAGTTTAGTGGATTTTTTTTGAATTTGGGGAACGTTGTGGCTGGTGCTTCTGCTACTCCCCTCAAGTGTGGAGTGGGAGTTTCTTTTTAAACGCAGACCAAATGTGCAGGAGTTGGTATAATTCATCAGGTGAATATGCCAGGGCAGGCATCGGTACGGTCTGTATTCAGGCCAAAATGGCACTTCCTTTTTCATTACACCCAATTCATGACTTCTATATTCACCTTAGTCAATAATGCTATGGCAGTAAATGGCATTAAAGATCCTTAATCAATAACGTTATGACATACATAATAACACTTCTATATGATATAGTATTATTGATTAAAGATTACAAAATAGTGTTATTCCCGTTATAATTAAGTTTTTCTCCCTCAACACCCATCAAAATTTTCCTTTAGTAAAATTATATTTATATACTCATTTGCAAAATTACTACACTGAGTTGAATGATTTTTATTTACAAACTAGCTTCTTCACACACACAACCAGAAAAACTACAGACTCGAAGTCCAAAAATAAATATTTTGACCAGTGCCTATCCATCTAATTCCTTTTAGAAGGATATGTCTTACCTTCTAAGTTTCTTAATAGTTGATCATTTTGAGGAGGAAAAATGTAGGATTTGGTCTGAATTTTTTTTAGCTTCATGACATGCAACGTATAAATACACTTTGAATTTTTTTTTACTTTGTAATTTTTGCAGTAAACAATAGCCGCACAACTCATAAATATATGATTACAACACGTGAGACATGAGTTATGTAATGATCAAAATAGAGAGAGGTGTATGAAACATGGGATAGAATTGGCAAATTCTTTTTTTTAGACGAAATCTCTAAATTTTAAAAGTTAGGCCCAATCTCAACTTGGGTAACAGCCAGCTAGGCCCGTGGACTTGCTCTTCAAAGTTACATTTTATCCCACCACCACCATTTCCCATTGTTTTCCCAGCTCCTCCCAAACCCCAGAAATTGGAAAGAAAAAGAAAAAAAACAAAACAAAAATATGAGTAACACAAGCCTTGGTCTGTCCCCAAATTCGTTAATTCAGTTGAAAATCCCACCCAAATTTCGCGCCAGAAATTGCCGCACGAATTTCTCAGCAGTCTCAGCTCGTCTTGACAATTCCAAAAGCAACTCAGCAGAACCACAACTCAATCTCTCCGTCCTCCGCTTCACACTAGGTATCTCTCTCTCTCTCTCTCTCTCTCTCTGAGATTGAGATTTTGAATGATGGGTTATTGGATGGTGCAGGAATACCTGGGCTTGACGAATCCTACTTACCCAGATGGATTGGATATGGGTTTGGTTCGCTTTTGATTTTGAACCATTTTGCTGGTTCCATTTCACCCGCCAGCACAACCCCGGCTCAGCTTGTAAGCGACCAAAACCATCTTCTACTGTGTTATATTTGCTTCACTTCTTGTTGGCTTTGTGTTAATTTTTGTGGGTTCGTTTGGTTTTCGGCTTTCTCAATTAGAGAACAGAGGCTTTGGGTCTATCTCTGGCTGCATTTTCCATAGCACTTCCCTATCTAGGAAGATTTCTCAAGGTAAATTTCAAGGCATTTTAAAAAATTCCAATAGATTAATTAGAGGTCAATGGCATTGTTTTTCAATCTGAAAAAACTCATAAAAATGCAAAGTGCAGCTTAAATTCGTAACCCCATGAAGGTGAAGTTTGAATTGTAAGCCTCTTCTGTGGTGCAAAAAATATAAACTACCAAGAACCCTTCAATGTCAATGACATTGATATTAGATAGGGTGGCAGGCAGGTATAAACTGTCTGCGCAGCATTTTTGTAAGCCTGATTATGTGGAATTATATTGCAGGGTGCTACTCCAATGGATCAAACTAGCATCCCACGAGGGTGTGAGCAAATGTTTGTGATATCACAAAATGTCTCAAATACTCAGAAGGAGGACTTGGCGTGGGCTACGTACATCTTGTTGCGCAATACAAACACCATAGCCGTGGTACTAGCAGGTTTTTATTATATATTGGCACTAGACAGTTGAAATTTTTTGCTGGCGATGAGAGTGAGAAGAAAAATCCATTTTAATTTGGATGACAATGCAAATTTTGTTTTGTTAGGTCAGAATCCAATTGAAAAGAAGAAGTTATGTTCTTATATTTTGGATATTTTGTTATAAGCTTTTCAAAAGTGGTTGTTGCTAATATTTCAGATAATATCAATTCGAAATGAATTATGCGTGCGCGGCTACTGGAACATACCAGATGATGTATCAAAAACCAATGTACTTGGTTGGTTTGAGAAACAGATTAAAAGCATTGGTCTTTCTGACGTGAAGGAAACCCTATACCTTTCCCAGATTGAAGGTAGCTATAACTTGATGTCTTCAGCTCTGTTTCTGAAAATGATTGCCTTTACTTGGAATAGTATGAAACTTTTGATTGTCTCTGTTTCAGATTCTGGACTTTGGGAGATGCTACCACAAGGGACTCGTTCTCTCCTTGTACAACCAATTGTGCAAGTTCTGCCCTCAAGTGACAATGAGATTCAAAAAAGTGAAGGATTTGTCTTGTTGGCTTCAAGCATGAGGTATGCATATGGTGATAAAGATAAAGCCTGGATCGGAGCTCTTGCAAACAAATTTAAAGGTAAGCGATAAAAGATAGAGCCTGTATAGGAGCTCTCACAAAAAACAAATAGAAAACTAAAAATAGAAGAAGAAGAAGAAAAAGAAACCCGGAGGTAAAAGCGTATGTGCAGCTTTGTAAAGAATTGAACTTTTTATTATAAGGCAGCTTTTTTCGCTCAATATGTTTCTGCTGATGCATTTGAAATTTCGAAACAGGCATTAGTTTCGTAGATTGTCAATTGGCTCTCTTGGGATTCATATAAGATTAGCATGAGAACAAGTGCATAATTCTTCCCTGAAATGCACACTACAGTAAAAGAATAAGCCATTTGAAGCAAATATAAACTTTTATGAAGCAAATGTCTGGTAAAATGATCGTAAAAAGGCATATGAATTATGTGAATGTCTCCAATACAAGAAGCAGATAGGAAGACATTTGCAGCTTCTAGATATAGGAATAGCAAATATTAGTCGGCCCATAGGAATATGGGCTTTGGTTGTGTTTTCTTCTATGTGTTTGGTTGTTTTTTATGGGTTGGCTTTGTTTGGTCGGCTTTTGTTGCCTGTTTTTTTCCTTTGAGCCTTAAGTGCAAGTAAAAAGTTGCAGAAAAGCAAGCAATCTAAACTGAACCATGAGAAAATAAGTGATCAAAACTCTTACTTTGGCCAGCAACTGTTTTGCTTAACGAATCCAAACAACTTAGTTGGATCAGTTTTGTGATGCTCATATGATAATGAGATGTCTTTACTTCTTCCTTTCTTGTGTTTTTTTTTATAAATACCACGAGATGTACCCACACCCGAAGAGTGGGATTAATCCCCGCTAGGGATTCGGCTTACTTCTGACCACAAAGTGCTTCCAACGTTTATTTCTTCCTTTCTTATTTGATATATGCTAATGGTTGGCAAATCATTAAATTCATAATTTATCAACGATTAACAGTCACTCATAAATGCGCAGAGTCAACCTACTTTCCGAATCATCATTTATCATACTCACTCAACCACTCAAGTCTCACCAACATGTTGCCCCATACAATCACTAAAGGGGGCTCCCACCATCTGACACTCAACTCATTATCAGTCACAATCTACAATGCAATTATTTTGACTATTTCAGAAAAATTAAACACAGTGCAACCCTAATTTAAAAAGAATTACTTGTTATATTATCCCAATTGGCAGTTGAACCAAATTTGAGTTAAAACTTTGATATCAAAGAAATTGTGCCACTTCAGAGATGGAAAGCACAACATGACCTTATCAACATCAAGAAAAGGTGGGTTTGAAATTGAACCCTATCTTGGTTTCTGATCTGATGCAAGTCACTAATTATTTTATACTGCAAAACTCCCCTCACGCGGATCTCTTTTCATCACTAAACACTACTACAACAATGTAAAAGTATAATACTAATTATACCACGTAACGTCTAAAAATTATCGTGGTGTTTTAAAGCACCACGGGTGTTCTATGACCATCGATCATGATAGTTAGGGAGATGCACTATAAAAAGTAACTTCTGTTGGGGCACGATAACTGTCAAGAAAGAACCCTTAAAATACGTTTTTAGAAAAATGTCAGTGTTTTCTCTCTCTTCCCAGATTTTCACAACCACAAAAAAAAATATGAGTTCCCTCTCTTCAGGACTTCCAACAAGTAATCAATGTTGAGAAGCATGACACTGTCTTCGCTTGCCGTCAATGGGGGAGAAGGGAGGTACATGCAAGAAAGAAAATACTTTGATGCGTAAGTCAGTAGGAATATAAGAAGATTGCAGTAGAGTTTAGAATAATATTGGCCCTTTTTTCCCTTTGTGTTGATGGATTAATTGGCCTTTATGGGAATTCGAGTCTTAGGCTTTAAATTCCATGTTCCATGATTTTCATTATGATCAACAATCACTCCATCATGGGCATAGTAGTGAGGGATAGGGCACAGAACATGTTTGTCTTGGTAGGTCTTGGTCATCAAGTCCCATAAATGCGATGATTTCATTTATGTGTGTTCATGAATAGAAAATTGGAAAAACATGTTTTTTTTAAAATTAAAATTATAGCTCCACTTCCTAAGTTTAGAGTGCCAGTGGAATAATTTCTTGAGGCGTAATTTTTGCTCTCACATCAAGACCTATAAACTATGATTCACCAATACTCCGATACTCGTATATGATATGCATATAGGCTATAAATCTGTACTTAAGATCTGCAATCACTCTTTACCATGACATAGAAAGTTGTTTATTAGTATTCCCAGAAGTTTCATTTGTTTTATTGCAGCAAAATTGGTTTGGCACTCATCTCAAATGTTACCACACATACTGAGCTCGACTTTTGGGTGAGCTCAATGAAAAGCTATAGACATGTTGGTCCATAAACTGCTTTTTTAATAATAATAAAAACATTATTTCCCAATAATTGTGTTAATTTGCAACCTTTGGGTTTAGTGGCAAGTCCTCCTCTTCAACATTAAGAAATGAGTTTATGGATCATCCAATCTCTTTTCGTGTAGTGCTAGTCCAGTTGGCCATGATAGCTCCACCGACTTTTCAAGTAAATGATGCTTGTTTGATTAATTAGGGGAAAACAATCAAGTTAATCTTTAATTATGTGACGTTCAAATGAGAGTGGGCAACACGTGACATCATGGAGATATAGAAGCAAATGGGGTCCTAAATTCTAAATTCTAAATTCTAAATTCCTAATCAAGGCAAATGCTCCACTATAATTGTATACAATTTTTCTCTCTCTTTCCTCCATGGTCAATGGGAAGATTTAGGCTGCCAATGCCCAAGCCCCACGGCTACGGATTAAGATGGCAACTTTCAAAAGGAAGTCACATGAGTCATCAGAAAAAACAACTCTTCTTCAAGCTTTCAATGACCCAACCAAAAAGTTACATGGAATACTAGGTGATAGTGATTTCCATTTGGGTGACTGGGTCAACAACTCAGTCGATGGATCTACCACATATAATCATGAATTACGAAAGTTAAAACTCACACACATGGAATTATCCCAAGCATGAGGTCCATAAATGTGCAAATCTGTGGATCAGATTGAAGTCTTCTAGTTTGACTCGAATCATGTTCAGGTCGTGAGTGCGAAGCGTATTTGATTGTCTTGAAGAAGTCATATTTATTGATTTCAAAATTCAAAACTTTTTATATCAAACTCAAGATGTTTTAGAGTGAGACTGTTTGTAAATTTTCAATGTTAAAAAGATCAAACCGAAGTCTTTGAGTTTGACTCAAAGGGATTTTAGTTGTGAAATCGAAGTTTATTTGACTGCCGTGAAGAGTTTTCAATTTCAAAACTGAAAATCTTCAAGGAAAACCAAAATTCGTTCTTATGTGGTCAGTAAATTTGCCAATTTTCTGGACTGTTAGGAGGGTATATATGTGAAAGCTAGCGTTTGTACCAGTGAAATGAAATATGGTCCATAACTCACGGTAGGGAGCTGGTTGCCCCTTCCTCACGGTTGGGTTAAATCAATGTGGATGACTTAAAATAATGTAATTTCCCCATCCAATTGAAACATTCCACTGTGCAAGATTATAATACAATTTGTACACACCCACTAGATTTTTTCAATAAAATCCAATTTGTAGTTGGGCTGCTAAAAGCTGTCAATTTAAATCCAAAAAACAACCAAAAGTCTTCCCTTCTTTAAATCCCCATAAGTAATATATATACACTTATATTATCCCTCTCAAGGTGCCTCTCTTTCTTCTCTGCATCTCCAAACACAAAAAGATGGGTGCTTGCTTTTCTTGCAAACCAAAACCTGCACTTCAAAATGTGAGAGTGGTTCATCTAAATGGCTATGTGGAGGACTATGAGCATCCAATTTCTGTAGGTCAAGTCACAGGGAAGCCCACAAAGCACTTTGTCTGCACCCCAGCTCAGCTTCTCTCTACTGGGTCCAAGCCATTAAAGCAGGACACTCTGCTGCAACCAGGGCAGGTCTATTTTCTGCTTCCATACTCAGCATTGCAGAGTGATGTTTCTCCTCTGGACTGGGCCTCCATATCCAGAAAGCTCACTGCAGCAGCAGCAAAAAGCAGGAGGTCTTCATGTGAGGGTAACAATAATTCTTCTCATTCTTCTCATTTGGCTCCTTCTAGTCCTTTGATGATGGGCCAGTTTTGCTCAAGCCCCGTGTGGAGCTCATCATCTTCACCAGGTAGAAGTCCAAGCAGGTTTTCTATGGAGCAGGAGAGCATGGGCTCTCTGATGGATTATGGCTCTCAAAGGTCTTGTAGAGCTAGGTCATGGAAGCCACTTTTGGATACAATTACTGAGAAATCATTTAACAGGAGGACTGAATCAGATTTACAAGAGATGCATGTGGAGGCTGTGAAATAGATTGGGTTTGAATTTGATCAGGTACAGTAGGATATGTTGTAGTGAAAGAGAGAGAGAGAGAGAGAGAGAAAAGAAAAGAAAAAAAGAAATAGAAAACTCTATGCTTGGTTTTTTTGTGGTAGATATTGCTAGAGGATATTGGGATGGATGTAATGGGGATTTTCTTGTGGGAAAATGAAAATGGAAAACTCTGTTGATTTTAGTTTTTCTGGTTTGGAAATATCAGCAGATGATGGCAACTGAAGATCATCAGATATTGATCTTTTTCCCACTTTAAATCTTTCAATTCTGTTATTACATTGTGAGCTGACATCTAACTTTGAAGTGAAGCAAATGAATTTCTGGTCATTCTTCTCTATCTCCTCCTGTTTTTGTTTTGGTTTTGGTTTCCTTCTTGCCCAAGAGTGAGATAAGAAACATCCCAACCTGAGATATCAATGATTCTTCTGACAATTCTCTCATCAGAAATTTTCCTTTGAATTTGCAAGTTTTCATTTGGTTTGTTGGAGAAGATAAGTTGCAAATCACAGTATAAAAAATAAAAAAACTTATTTTGCAGTGCTGATTTTATTTTAGTTGGATCCAAAAGGAAAATTCCAGAATTGAATCCACCTTATGCTGCTATGCATGTCTCATATTTGGTTCAGTCCTTAGATCATTGTTCTGAAATTACACTTTTTCAGATGATTAAAGTAAATACACTTGGTCTATGGCCTTTGTCATTATTAGGGGTCAATTACCTTTCAAGGAAACTATTCACTGGGTACATGTTTATATTTTTTTGTTGCCATGTTTCTCAGTTGAAAACAGTACCAGCACATAGAGTACATGGCACAGCAATGGATCCCATTAAGTCCACTGCCAATAAATTAAAACATTTTAAGATTGGCAAGTTGAAAGTGACAACTTCTTAAAAGGTCTGCATTTTCTTTAAAATAGCACCAGAGTTTGGAAACTCATTTAATTCTTTTCATGGTCCTATCACGCATTGTCGGAAAAATAAAATGCATGACAATAAGTAATTGGCTTGGGATAGCGTCATAGTGGTACCCCTGGTATAAGTAAGTTCTTTTCTGGTGGAAGCAGGAGAGAATAAATGGTTGTGTTTATTCTGGACTTTCAACTAGTATCATAACTGCAGCCACCACAAGTTTAAGACATTTTTTTTCAACAAAAGCAGTTTGGTGGATTTCTTCATCTACTTGTATTTGGAAACTCTGAATTCTCAACCAAGACACAAGAACATTTAACCATTACTGGTAGGTTGGTCTAGCTACTAACATAAAGAGTTGCAGCAACATCATATAACCCAAAACATATATAAATTTGGAGAGGCAGAGTTATAGATGCAAATTAATTATAAGGGTACAGATAAAGGAGCTGGAGGGACCCACTTTTGAATAGGTGAGCAATCCCACCCACCTTCTTTGCTATGTGTCACAGTAAAATGGTTAGGAACCCAAGTTTCCCCTCTTGATTCTCTTTCTCTCAAGAGCTCCCTCTGTTTTTCCTCAACAGCTTTCTTTGCTTCCCTTGCTTTGCTCCAGTCTTTCCCAAGAATGGCTTGGCTCAGAATGCCCCAAATTAAAGCTGATTCACTTGGCCACACTCCCTAATTCAAATTAAATAAATTACATCATAGGTAATTGATAACATAAACATAGAAAAGTAATTGCATTGATTTTTGTTTTACTTATTAAATTTTTTTACAAGAGGGGGTGAATCTCCTTTCACTTTTTTTTTTCTATATAAAAAGTACTTTCTCTAAATTAAGTTCAATGAATTCTTTACATAATTTTTGTATAATTTCATATAATCCATTCATAAGTATGAGAAACTTCAAGATCCCAAGAAGCAAGCGAAAGCATGAAGAATGGTGGGTTAGAAGAACAAAAAAGGAAAAGAATTCTCCACATAAATTGCAAAGAATTTATATGCATGAAGAGAAGCCAATGTGCAGCTTGAATTTGAAGAAGAAATTAGTGTCTGTAGGGCATATTGACTTAATGAAATGCAAGTTAAAGGATTTGGAGATCGAGGTGGAAATTAGTTACCTTCTGATCCGTTACCATTGGAGCTTTCAGTCCTGAAATGGCTTCTTTCGCATTGTATATAACTGTTTCTTTCCCGCTACTGACGTCCTTCATTTTGACAGTTCTGCAATGAAATATAGGATGCAGCATTATAACAAGATAGATATGGATGTGTGAAACGTGAACAGAATTTTTCAAGGCTAAACATAAATATGGTCAGGAGAAAAGTTGTTAGTCAATATGAGAGAACCATTTCACTTGTTATTTGTTAAAGATTGTTTAGAAACCTTGTACCTGTAGCATCAAGGTCTAACTTGTAAGTAATCAACGGTTTCGTTTTTTCTTTTTGTTGCTTTTTCAAATGTATGAAATCAAACCACTGTTAATCTTTATGCACATAGCAGCAGTCTAAAGAAGAAGAAGATAATCCTTTCATGGACCCTTGAATTACCTATCCCACTGACCATCTATCTCATAAAGAAGCTCGAACGACGTTGAGTCAAAGATCTTTCCCTTAACTGTTCTAGGATTTCCCCTAAGCCCAAAAAATGAGCTGCTTCCATAATATAACTCAGCTTCAAGGCCAGTCTCATGACACCGGATTCTGTTTTCACCAACCCAATCAACCCAAGGTATTGGCAAGAATTTGATCAAGAGTTTCGGCGAGTTCATTTCATATGTTTCTCCGTGATTCAGGAGCTTCAGTTGCCTTTTTCCATGCACCTCAGTTTCCACTGAAGTACCTGCAACATGGTTCTTGATAAGAAATATGGCATTTAAACCCAATAGTAGATTTAAAGAGAGGAACTTAAAGTGTGTAAAAGTTATGACAAGAATGAAATCTTCGATATTGTTGGTGAGTTTGAAGTTCTTAACTAGAGAATATATACACAGCCTGAAAACATTAAAGTAAATGATTTTTGACCAATGAGTATTAAAGTAAAGGATTAGAGTGACTTGAAATCATACAGACAACCTGATAATAGTAATATATAAAGGCTAATAACATGTCGAAGGCCAAAGATAAAAGGAACCTTTCGGATCGATAGTGCAGTTAATCTTACTGTTAGAAACTGAAATCACATCCTCTACTCTGGTTTTCACACTGAAATTTTGTGTTTTGAGGTATTGTACCTAAGAATAGTTTTCAGATCAAATCAATTAGCACTTTCATCTGAACTGTACAGTCAAGATAAGAGAAGCACATTTTCAAAAGAGTATCAGAAAGGAAAAGGAAGATATATGAACATCAGAAGCAGCAGCAGCAGCAGCAGCATTGAAACTTTCTGAAAACAGTCAGTATTAACTAAGTACTTGGTAAAGAGTACAGGTTCCTTGTAAGAGGTCTACTACATTGAAGTCTTCGAATTATTTTTATCTGGCTCTGGCAGATAACTGCTATGTTAACCATCAGTCAGGATTGGTAGATAATGCAACACTAATGAAATAGCAAAGCAAATGCTTATGTAGATTGGAAGGCGGATTAGAGTCAAAAGGTTAAAATTTCTTAGATATGACAAAATTTCAGGTGTTTGAAGGATCTCTGACTTTCATTTTCCAACAAAGATCGCAAAAACAAGACTGGGGACAGAGAGGAAAGACTTGATGCATATGATTGGTGACTGCTATTTTTTCTCAAATAGAAACAAACAAATAAACAATCTGGATGATTGTGAGTAATAGCTATTTTTTTTCTTTTTTTCGCAGTTCAAACAAATTAACCAAGGTTCAAGCTTTACAATCTTTTTTATAGTAACATTTTACATTTGGTTTGTTAAATATGTAACGGCTATAGTAACCAGCAAACCAGTATTTCTTCTATTAGATTAATCGTTATTATGAAAAGTAAGAAATAGAGTACCATAGAATTGGGGAGTAGGATGTTGACACCATATCATTTCAAGGTTTTCTTTTTCATCAGTTCCATGAAGGGCAGTAACTGGTGGGTGATGTGAAACCTGCAAGTATGCAACCCAAAAAGCAACCACATTAGGCAATGTATGTATAAAAGATCCACCAACTCGCCACTCGCCAGGTAGTAGCGAGATCATGTTCAAGTTTGGCCAGCATGGCAGCATAAATTAGAGGCTAAGATAATCATACGGCAACCATTTTCGAGCAAAGGTGCAGCAGAAAACACAAGTACCTGCTCAAGTAGAACATTGAGATTCCCCCTTGAAACATGATGAGTTTCTCCAAGAATGGGGTTGTAAGGAGCAATTCCGAAGATCATAGGACGCAAAATAGAAATGCTCCATGATAAGACGGCTGTGAACCTTTCTTGGGGACTTTCCCCTTTGTTGCACCTCCCTAACAGATCATTACCAATGCAATACACCGATTCACCGAAACACTGGAGGTGTGACTTTGGCAAGTTAAAAAGAGGTGACAGCTGAACTTGCAAAACAAGTAACAAGATCAATTACCATTGACCACCAAATACAATCAAGAATACACTACTGTGTGATATTTAGTTTTTCAACAGAACTGTAAGTAGATTCACAAATGCAAATATGTTATTCTTTGTAAATTGTATGTAAGCACATGCAAGATTGAAGAGAATTGTATGCATATATAGTTTTTTTATGTCAGGGTTGTTTTGTTCCATACAGCAAAGAGAACATAAAATTGGTTTAGGACTTTCCAAAGTTGTGTTTCTTTACTTGGATCTCCTTAACACTGCTCCTAGGAATTTATTAAGGCCTTCGGTTGGAGAAATTATTGTATGTATCTGATATACCACGTGGCTCGTTTCGAATTGCTTCAAAGCAATTCAAATTGAAAGATGATTCTCAATTAGTTGTTGTAAATGTTACAGGAATTCCAATGTTAGTTGGCGATTGAAAACAATATTCCGTTTATTATTTCATATGTGCAGCATGCTGAATTCGAACGTGTACTGGTATCAATGTTTTTAAGGTAATTTTATTTTAGAGACGAATTTCTCATAAAAATTTATAGAAAAGTTGAAAACTCATCCTGGGAGTATCATTGTAGAAAATAAAAATAAAAATAAAAACTTCTTTCTGAAAAATTATTCTGGTCCACGCAGAAATTTTTAATTGGGACTACCTTTTGTATTAATGTATTAATTTTCACATGTAAAATGTCACAAAAAGCATTTGTATAAGTGATCCAGAAACCCTTTTGAGAGTGCTTCTGTAGAAAGCACTTCTACTCATAAACGTTTTTTTTAGAAATGCTTCTACTAGAAAAGCGTTAGAATTTTATTAAAAATATGATTCCTGAAAAAGCACATGCTACAGGCTTCTCTAAAAAGCGCTTTTATAACGCTGAAGCACACTACTAAAAGCGCTTTGCTTGTAACCATTTCGGATGCACTCCCAAACACAAGTGAGTCACAGTAGCATTGTAATTTGTAACCACATCAATAAGTAGGACCGGCCTGGACGATAAAAACAAAAGCTTTGTGTACGGCCGGCTGATGCATGACAGTCCATTTTGTCTTTTTATGTAATGACCACAGATATTCAAAAGCCAGGTGTCAACATATCAAATTATGGAAATAAAAGAAAATTAAAATAAAAGAAACTCCTAAAATGTAAAAGTATGGAGTAATGCTTTTTAACCACAATTTTTTATAATAATTATAGTATGGTATATTGACTGGAAAAAATTACATTATGGTATGATATTGAAGTACAACTACGTTGTATAAAATTAGAAATATTATCCATACTATCTTATACAATGTGACCATATTTCAGTACCGTACAATAATTTTTCCAATTTTCCGCAAAGATGGGACCTACCACAGCAGTGGTCCAGTCTATCCTTGCCAAAGATGAGGTTTGTAAAATGTAATTTGAGGATACGACAGAAATGATAAAACCTAAAGTTATGAAAGAAGCAGCACTAGACCTACCTGAAAGCGAGAGAGATCTGATCCTGGCCGTACATTTTTAAACAGACTTAGGACGCGCTTAATTAGATTAGGAGCTCTATAATCAACCTCCGAATCCCCATCTAATGACAACGGCTTTGTCAGAAAAATAACTCCGGTCTTCTCCTCCTCATCCGTCGTGACCTGCACCGCACCGAATCATTCCCCAATATTTGGTATTATTCTGGCAAATCCAACTTCAAAACTTCAAAAGGAACACTATAAAAATTTAATTTATTATTAAAAAAATAAATAAAACCTATTTTGTATGAGCTGCTTGCTTATGGAACCAAGTTTGACTGCAAAATTAAAAAATAAATAAATAAAGTTGCACACTGTCTCCCTACGTTTGCAACAGCTAGCACAAAGTTGCTTGAGAAGTAAGTTTTTTTTTTCCTATTAAAATATAGGGAATACCATTTTGTAATTTACCCGGAACTTTAATAGGAAGATTAGCTTACTTGAAAAGGGAAAAAAAAATTTCACATCAAATTAAAAAAAATAAGAATTGAATTGAAACTTAGCATTTGCTCCATTTAGAAACAGGGCATGTTATAGAAGCTATCTTCTCTTCTTTCTTTTTTTGGGTCGAATCGGATACAAGGGAACGAGCACACTGCAGTGCCGACTGACCTAACCCACGTTTGCATAGAAGGTAACTTAGCGTTGAAGAAATGGTCATTAAAAGAAAGAGAAAGAAAATAAAAAGATGCCATGCCTGCCACAATTCCAAAGCAATTTCCATTTCCCTTTGCACACAAAACAAAACAATATATATATATATATATAATTAACAAATGGAGTAGAGGCTGGCTGAGGCTCCAATCCAATGAAACAGCCCAGCAGATATAATAATTAAATATTCAATAGCAGCTGCTGCCGCAAGCCTGCAAACAAAACAAAAACTGGTTTTTGTCTTCTGAATACCGCTTTTCCTGAGTGGGAAAACAGCTGAAGTTTTAGAAAACTGTTTTGAATACCATGGTTGATGAAGATGATGAAATAGATACTGTGACTTAGAATAAGTAAGAGGAAGGTTTTGATTTGATCTGCAAGAACTTCTCCCAATTGGGCACCCAGAAATATGAAATCAATCAAGAAATACATGCATATAAATACCAACTAGGAAATCATTCCAAAATAGATAAATACCAATAAATACCATTTGAGCCACTGGCTCACTGTGTTACAGAGAAAAACAGAGAGAGAGAGAGAGAGAGAGAGAGAGAGAGAGACATACCATATTAGATTTTGCAGAGGCAGAGATGGTGTGGGGAGAGAGAGAGAGAGAGAGAGGTGCTGGTTTTGTTTTGTAAAAGAGGATGTAATGAAGAGAAATAGAGGAAGTGGCGGAAACTGAGATGGACTGTCACAGGGAAAAATAAAGGCGTTTTTATAGGCGTTTTGAACAACGAGAAGACAAAAAATAAAGGCGTTTTGGTGGTGATTTGTTTAAATAAATAATTTTTGTTATGTTAATTCAGGAAACTATGAGTAGACAAAAACAAACCTCAAATTGTTTTTCCTAGTATTACGATAAATTTTTTTATTAAAAAAATTAATTTGTTATTATTTTCCCAATTAAAAGAAGAAGAAGAAGGAAATAAAATAAAAAAGAAGCCAACGAAAATAAATAACTACGGTTAATAGTTGTTCGTTGGTCATTGGATTGCTATCCAAACGGAAAGCGTAGCGTGTTCTGCTTTGTTTGTTCGGCTGCCGACGCATTTGTTTCATCTTCATCGCGCACACTGTTCATCAAAAGGGCTTGCTAGGCATTTACAATTTTTTTATATTTATCCATTTTACTTTCTCTTTTTTTTTTTTTTTTTTTAAATTTATAAAAAAAACCTTAGTTGATGGTACATTAAATGGTGTTTGATGAATTTAATGTTTAAGATGTATGTAATAGCGTGATCAATTTTGTGATAATGCTCACAATAAATCTATGTGACAGGTTCAATGACCTATCCATGTTACCTAGTACAAATTGTACATGTGTTAGGTGCACGAAATTATTTTGTGGAGGTTGGTTGATCGGAATCCTGGGATCATCATATAAAATGGCAATAAAATTAGTGACAGTAAATAACCCATTGGACCATGTTATTTATAGTAATACCATCTATTTCTAGTTGTATGACATAATGGCCTTATCAACGGTGCCTAGCTCAACTAGGGCATATTATAAAAGAGGAATGCTAGCAACTTTCTCCTTTTTCCTCATGACATGTGTCATTTTTCTTGTACTTAAAACAACGTCATCAATCATCACACAAGTTAATTTTTCTTTTCCAAATTAACCCTTATTAAATATATATATTACAACAAGCTAGTATTTTAACAACTTTCTTTCCACCTTATTACAAAATTAAATAAGAAAAAAAAAAGGTTTATATATATATATATAACTAAATTATTTGTGGTGATAATTAAATAACTAATTTATTTCCAGTTTGATTGATCTCAAATCACATGATGTGTGGTAGACCCAAATGAAAACAAGTAGTTATTGTTGAATGTAAGGAACAACTCTTGCTAATTGCTTGGTATATGGAACATCAGCGTGTTAGGCTTTATCTTCAGGTATTTGTTCGACTGAAACCTACATTGGCTTGACGAAGAAAAGAAAAGAAAAAAATGTTATAGAAAAAAATAAATGGAGAAATGGGAATTACATCATTTAACTCCATAAGTAGTTCTAATTGGGCCATGTCATCCAACTTTGTCAATTTGTCCGTCAAAATGAGGGGTAAAAGCATCATTTCGACTTTCAAGAGTCTCCTTCGCTTGATAATCCCTCAATAAGAGAAATCCCCAAAATGAAGAAACCATAAAGGTGCTGAGTATCACAAATCGCACCCTAAGGTAAAATGTAGGAAAGTTCCACAAACTCAAATTGCTGCCGTTGTTACTTTGAGTGTGGGTCGGAAATCAAACTCGACAGATCTGAATATGTTGAAATGGGCAGAAAATGGGCATAATGTTATATATCCTCTTCAAAAGCTTTTGATGGCATGGGCATAGTGTAGAAATGGACAAAAAATGGGCAAGAATTAGTAGTGTGGGCAGGATATATGAAGGAATTGCTAGTGTAGAAACCTGGGCATAAGGAATTGCTAGTATGGACCACACTAATGAATACAAAACCAACTCATCCATTTTCAAACATGCACAATCACTTTCAAACATGCATAATTAAAAGTTAGAGTAAATAAGAATGAAAAACTAAAGTTTGATGACGAGGGGAAAATAACCTTAACTTGCAGACTAGTGGTCTCAGGTTCGAACCCCCACATGACACTTTTGACAATGTATATGTAAACTCCCTCCCTCTCTTCATTTTGGCAACAGAAAAAACAAAAAACAAAAGTATGAACTTTCTAAAAAGTTATTTATTTATTTTGTATTATAAGCCATTTTCGCAGTTTGCTTTCACCGGAATAATCGCTATGACAGCCGTAAAAGGCGAAGGGAACATCCAAACAAGTCAACAATTGATCTCCAAGTTCCAACCACAATGGTCGGAGCTGGCCCTAAAGTTTTTGCAGCATGAGACAAACTGTTAAAATGTAATGTGAACCGTGCATATTGGCATAAACAAAAAAAGAAAAGTTTCTTTTGAATTGAGTAGATTTTGAACAGCTTTTTTCTGTTCTTTGTTGTAAATTTTGGATGCCCCAAGACACCAAATGTGGAGGCTATTGAATGCAAAGTGAAGTGAAGGAATGTTTGGACTTTCCCTTCATCTAATTGGATTTTTCACTATCATATTTTGTTGTGCTTTCACATTCTATCCATTTCACAATGTTCTTGTTTTTGTTAGAATTTTGAAGTATCTAGAGGTCAAACTTTATGGCTCGGTTATAAGGCATGATCGTGTCTATGTTGAAGCTCATTAAGTGAATTTGTATAGGCTTGGACATTATTTGGATAAAATAGTGTTATTTGAGGTATCTTTCAACTGAAGGGAATTGTATATCCCGAGGTGTTGCACAATACGACTGCCTAAAAAGTTATCGTGAAATTATGGTCTTATTGTAAAGAGTTATTCATATCAAATGGTCATACATAGATTAAGTCTTTACCACTGCACCCTTTCTATATATATATTGCATCCAAAAAATTCATCTCATACAAGAAAGGGTAACAAACTTTTGATTTTTGAGCAAGGAGCTTGTAGCTTAAATCGTTAAGTTAAGAGCATTTACCCCTTCATCCGAGGTCCTAGGTTTGATTACCCATTCGCCAATATTGCTTGAATAAAGAACAAAACAAAAAACTTTTGATTGTTGAAAGAGGAGATGGAAAGGAGTTCTCTCCCAAGAGTCCTCAACTACATTGTGTAGAAATTGTCGTTTTAGGTATGCAATCCGTGGTATGAGGCCACCAAATCCAGCAAAATGTCAATCTCCTAATATTGAATCGATCATATGAAATCTAGACAACGTCAAATTGTTTAATTTTATTTGTTGTCATGTTGCAAAATCAACATCTCAACTAAACCACTTTCAATGCTCTTTCATAGCTGGGTCCTTGGGTGTTCCCCATGACCCACCTTCGAATCCCAAAGAGTGTGTGGCCCCTCCCCCTTATCGATGTAACTCAAAATAAAAAAACTAATAATAAAACTTGAAACCTAGAAAGACCAAAAACCCAGCCTCTTGCTGAACGAGATTCTTATTCCTGCAATTATTTGTCGTTGCCAATAGAAACGTCTAGAGCTTCAAACAACATGAAGCATCGACACATCCGCATCCCTAGAATTTTTTTTTTTTTAAGTCAAGCTTATCAAATCATTCTCTAAATAAAAGAATTGGACTTTAAGGTTCGGTCAAAAGAAAAACGAGTTTTTCCTGGATTCTACTCGGGGGAGATTTTTTTATATTATTTTTTATTTTTGTAGATTAGTTTATTATAAATAAATAAAAATGCTGACGGCAAATGTGACTTCTCAATTTGTTTCCTTTTTTCAATCTGAGTGAACCTCAATTAAGCCCGAAGGCAAACAACCACAAGAAGGGCAGGCCCAGAACGAGGGAAGCTCAAGAGAGCTGATACTGCTGAGGTCAATGGGATCCACCAATCAAGCACCTTCAAAACACTTCTCTAATGTACGGGGAGGGGATAGAACTCGAGTGCAAAAGGGGATGGGCACACTGCCTTGACCAATTCAAACGACAATGTAATGATTCAAGAAGCAAAAGTAGGTGTCTCTCCAAAGGTGGAATTAAGGCTAGAGATTTCTTGTTAGAAATAATCAGACTATCCACCTAATTTTCTGAGCATGCTATTAACACTGAACTATTTTATAAAGACCTAACGGAATGGAATTGTAAACAAAAAGTGCAACAAAACCAAAGAAGATCTAACAGACATTACATATTTGTTGAATAATAGAACAAACAAAAACTTTAGCCTTTGTTCAAAGATGTCAAACCATTACAAATAGACCCAGGTTTCTTACATTATATAGAATTATAATCTGATCTTCCAACGTACCAAATTTAATTCAATCGCAAACTGGAACTCATTCCTCACAAGATTTTCACTGTGGATTTGAAACCTGTATTCCATGCCGCTTGAAAAATTCTCTAAATCCATAGGCACTAGTGTCGTAATTGAACTGGACACGTGCAGATACAACAAAACAGACAATACATTAGTTTGGGGAAATTATAATTCTCAGACACTGAATCTATAGTTTCCATAAAGGAGGGGGAAAAAAGATGATGAATCATATCTGCACGAATACATAAGAATGAAAATGGCTATTCATGGACCTCGCTAAATAACAGAGTGATCAAATCAGGTCAAAATATGATAGTGAAGGTCCACCTCTTAGGATAATAACATCATAATTTGTAAGCAAGCTTGGAAACTTACAGGTAGAACTTTCACAGCATACTTTGTAATATTTGGATCAGCAACCCTTCCCTGGTTAAGCGTCTGCACCAGAAAGAATTTCAATAAGCTGAAAGATGAGCAGTGGCATAGTGCCTAAGGGGCGTAATTTCAAGGAGTTATCAACTAGGACAAAAGAAAACCATCAGCCTGTCTACAAAGCATGTCATGGAAAGCGAAGCACTACTTTCACTAAACTTCCTGCTAGGCACAAATTCAGCCTAAAAATGGTAACATGATGAAGCAGATTGGCCATAACAAACTACAATGAACAACCAAATGTCATCTCGCAACTCTGATCATTTACATTCCACCAAGAATTGTTTCTTTCTAAGGCAACTTGCTTCTAGTTCAATGTTAAAAAAAACCAAGAATTGTTTCAAATGCTGAAGGCAAATTGCTTCTAGTTCAATGTAAAACAAAATAAATACATAAAAAATAGAGAGAGAAAATATTGTTTCATTTCCCATTATCTTCCTTTTTTTCTTTTTCTTTTGC